GTTTATGACACCCCCATACAGTGTCCTCTACAACGTTATGACACCCTCATACAGTGTCCTCTACAACGTTATGACACCACCATTCAGTGTCTTCACCAATGGTCTGACACGACCATACAGTGTCTCCTATCCTTTTTTATTTTTATGTATTTTCTTGTTTTGTTCCTCTCTTCAAACTCAAGTTGGTTAGTTTCTATCCTCCTTGAGTTTGCGGGGGGCTGTTAGAATTTACCATTCACACTCACCTACTACACTCCACTACTCCTCACCTACTACCCAAACCCTCTCCTATATAATGCCACTCTGATTTGTAATACAAAATATCAATCGATCAATAAATCAATAATACATAAATTCTTACACAGCCAAACCCACCATTTCCACATTTAAACTCATCTCCCTCTGCTTCCAATCTCTACCCATGTTAGCCATGTCAATGGCTGTCCCTTTTCCCCTTATCTGACAATTCTCGTTCGGTTTCGAACCCAACTCAATTTTCACTGCAGTCTCATTCATCTTCCTCACGTCGAAAGGCCGAAGAACTGACCCCGTTGAGAGCGGGTTCCTCTTGTAGAACACAGAGACGCTGAAGGTTTCGAACTCCAGGTTTATCTTCTTGTTCGGGTTCGTTACGGTCAATTGGACCTCGTATCGGGCATTTTTCTGCAAGTCGGAGATGTTGAAGTTGGATACAGAGAGTGAGTCGACGTGGAAGACGGGTTCTTGAGGGTGAAGAATGAGCCATGTGATCCAGCCAACAGCAGTGATTGCAACGAATAGTAAGATCAGAGCCAAGATCAGACGGCGTACAAATGGCAGGTTTCGGTTGTACTTAGGCTGTGGGGGTTGATGGTGAGTATAACTATAAGCATGTGCGTTTGAGGTTGTTTGGCTGTTAGGATAGGAAGTTGGATAAGTAGGTTGTGAGGCTGCCATTAGAGTACTTGTTTTTGATTGCTTTCCACTTGAAACTATTGTCTTCTACCCCTTTTCTAGAGAGAGAGAGAAAATTATGGTATGTGGGTATCGAAATGAATGGCACGATTTGAGGAGTTGAAGTTGTTATACAATAGATAGATAAATAGAAAGATGGAAACTAGATGCTGGTAAGAGAGGAGAAAAAAGTTTATCAATATATAGATGTTGGCAGGAGAATAGAAAAAAAATTATTAATATATGGGGTGTAAGTATAGTTGTGATTAGATGTAAATGAAAGGTTATAGGGGTGGAGGTATAAGTGTTACTTGTACTCTAATGAGTTAATTTTTTTTTTTTTTTCCCCTTTTTCGCATGTAATTTTCCCTAGAAAGAACGTGTAAAGTTTGTTGTTTTGTCTTTTTTAGAAAAACAAATTAGATGTTGTTTGCAAAAAAAATTATTTTAATAATTTTTTAATTAAAATATAATATAAAAAAATTAATATGTTTAAAATAATTTTTTAATTTTTTTAAAAAATGTATAAAAAGTATAAAAAAATAAAACTTTTAACTTTTTATATAAAGTTATTAAATTTTTTACTTTTTATAATAATTTTTTAATTTTTAAATTAAAATATAATATTGTCAAACGAGATGTCAATATTCTTAGGAATTTGCCTAGACATGACATTGGCTAGGAATTTGCCTAGACACGACAGTGCAAAGCATGTAATTGGTAGTAATGTACTTTCTACGTGAATGACATGTAATAATAATATACACCAAGTACAGTAATTCGAAAGAAATAATCGAACGCGTATAATGAAAGCAGAGGAATTTTCCAGGAAAGTGGGTGTCATTAAGAAAGAGATGGAAAGTGGAGTCTGCCGCGTGGCTCTCGTATGTTTCAAGCAGCCGCCTTAAACACGAGTACTCTCTTCTCCTTGTTGACACTCCTGACTCTCGACGCCCTTTTGGGGCTGAGAATGGGACACAAAACAGACTCTATCTAAAATTTCAATAATCTTCGGTAATTCGAATTTTTATGATTTGAGTAGTTTGAACATTATAAAATAATATCATTTTAAAAATAAAATGATATTATTTTGATATATTTAAATCTTTTAAATCAAACAAATTCGAACCACCAAATATTTTTTATAAAATTTTTTTATCATAAAATATTTATCATTAGTATATCAATATATTTGGTTGATATATTTTTTGAGTAAATTATATTAGAATGGGACACAAAACAGACTCTATCTAAAATTTCAATAATCTTCGGTAATTCGAATTTTTATAATTTGAGTAGTTTGAACATTATAAAATAATATCACTTTAAAAATAAAATGACATTATTTTGATACATTTAAATCTTTTAAATCAAACAAATTCGAACCACTAAACATTTTTTATAAAATTTTTCTATCATAAAATATTTATCATTAGTATATCAATATATTTGGTTGATATATTTTTTGAGTAAATTATATTAATAACTCTTGAGATTTTTGTTTAATATAAATTCTCTCTTACATTTGAAAAATTACACTAATTCTTCTGTCAGATTCAAATAATATATTTGCCTCTTAACCTTTATACATATAAAATAATACAAATATTTTATTCATGTCATTTTAAGAAAAATAACAATTATCTTATTTGATTTAACTCACACAAAAAAATGAGTTTTTTATTTTTCGTGTTTTTTTTACTGGTATTTTTTTAATATTTTAAGCAATTTTTTTATTTACTTTTTAGATATACCTAATTTAGATATACTTAAGAAATATAATATTTTGTAATTTTTTTAAATTCACCAAATATAAAAATATAAAAATTCAATACATTATCTTATTTTATTGTATTCAATAATTTTTTTTAAAAAAAAATTTGTACAAATTTTATACTTTTTAAATATATCTAGATTGAATTGATATAATCTAAATATAATTGTGGAAATAAAAAAAAAATTATATTCATATAAAAAAATGGAGAAATTATCAGAAAGTTCTATGTACCAAACTGTTATTCTCTATAGTCCCACATTGAATCCTTTGGATTGGCAAGTCCTATTTTGCACATTTGATAGATAGCCAAGTCCCGTTTCAAATTATATAAGGTATGGGTAGACGGATTTGCCCTTGTTTGTTATTGACATATACGTGCATTGTGGGATTAAGTGAATATTTTGTGGAATACGTTGTTGTGTCACGTTTGGTAAGTTGGATCCTATGTTTTGGGGTGTGACAAATTCGTGAGTCAGGGTGCAGGATTATTGTGAGTTAGCAAAGTAGGGTTTCATTGTTCTCTTAGTAGTGATGAGAGCTGCTGCAGTCGTCAACATTGCTTATCGTTGTAGGTACGTCATACGTATATATGTTTTGGATAGTTAAGATGCCATTACCCTTTAGACGACGTGTGTCCGTGATCACGCTTGTACATCCTTCACACTGCCACGGGGGTTCCAGTTATGTTGTCATCGTGGGTTCCGCGGGAGGTTGATGTGAATGTTGTTTTGGTTCAATGTGATAATCATAATACAATTTTGAACCGTGTTAATGGGTTGATTATGTTTGTGTGTTTGTTATTGTGTGGCCATAAACATGTGTCATTTGTGAGGTGATGTATCTAGTTGTGGTTTTTTTCCCTACCACTGTGTGTGCAGGGTGGGGGGATTTAGTTTTATTCAGTTTATTAGCGTATCGATTTTGTTTGGTATATTTTTTTTTTACATGTATAACATGTGTTTTACCCATGTCAGTGTCTGTGCTCGTAGGTATGGAAGAGAGTTTCATATTGTTGTGTTCTTATCGGAACACTAACGTAGCATACAATTAGCAGGATCATGGCACGTTTGCTGAATTAGTCAATTTTATGTGTTCCAAGTTCAGCGGGATAGATCCCCATAATGTGGGATTGTCGTACAAGATTCCAGGGTTAAATAGTTTTACTTTACAAGATGATGTGGATTTGCAAAACCTTGTTAGTCTTGCCCGGCCGTTCGGTTTGGAACACGTTTGTGTGGTGATTGATCAGCATGGAAGGTTGGATAGCGTACGTACGTATGGCAAACAACATAATATGCAACCCAACCCAGTTTCCGGAATAAACGTGAACGACCAAGGAGAAAGTGATGACGAGGTTGATTTGTGGCATGATTTCTGCCCGCACAATAATAAAGTATTACTGACTGAATCATGGACACGGGTGTTAACCCACGTCGGGCAATGTTTTAAGGGGGGTGCACACGAATTTCGAACGGTTTTGTGCAAGTATGCCATGGAGTTTGGGTTCAATTTCAAGTATGTTAAGAATGATTCCGTACGGGTAACAACGGTGTGCTCCATGGTGAAGGATAAGGGATGCACGTACTCTGCACATGCACGAGTGTTGAAAGCAAATCAATTTTTCTACCTTCGCAAATGGAACAGTGTGCATAGTTGCGGTGTATCCGTCCGGATATCAAATCATCCAAGGGTTGGATCTGATATGGTTGTTGATATTATGGCAACTCGTGTTCGGGACAGACCACTCACACGTCCAACTGATGTCATCTTAGATTTGAAAGACGATTATGGGTTGGACATCAACTACCGGGTTGCGTGGTTAAGGGTTGAGAAGGCAAAGGGGGAATTGCTTGGCGCTCATTCCTTATCATTCGACCAATTGCGTTGGTATCGTGAAGCCGTCATGCAATACAATCTTGGGAGTTATGTTCACATCGATTATGATGAACACAACTACCGGCTCCGCCTTTTTCTTATTTCATTCAAAGCATGCATTGATGGATTTCGTCATTGTCGTCCATTACTTTTCCTGGACGAAACCTTCTTGAAAGTCAGGTTTAAAGGGTTTTTGCTAGCTGCGACTACAAAGGACTGTAATCAAGGTGTGTCCCATTTCACTTAAAAACATTATGCTCACTTACTTCCGTAGTCTCATTTCCATTTGAATGTCCGAACAAGTTCAAATTGTGATACACCCACGTATTTTTCCATATGCCGGAACCAAAGCATTGTATGTTATGGTTGTTATATTATACATGCTGATCATGTTGTCATCATTACAATAGGGTTGTTTCCGCTTGCTTATGCCATTGTGGACTCCGAAAACAACACGAATTGGGGTTGGTTCTTACAACATCTCGCCAACGTGGTACCCAGTGATAGGACGCTCACGTTTGTGTCTGTTTGGAACGTGGGACTGAAAGAAGCAATGCCTACATTTTTCCTGATAGCACAATCAAGCCTGTTCAATAATATCACATCACATGTTATTAATGTTGTAAGCATAAATTAAGACAATTCATTTTCTGTACTAGGTTATGTCGTGTGGAAAATAAAAACGTGTTTACGATTCGGGACGTTGTTCGGAACAGTCCACTACTGATTCTAACGGCGGATCATACTCTTGAGTATCAATCGAGTCCTTTCCCATGGTCTGCCTCTGGACCTCTGACACAATGTTTTTCTACATCAATGCATACATATGTCAGCCAACACAATTTTCATGTGGACACACTCCCATACAATTTAACATGTACAAATCTTACCAGGAAAAATGCCTTAATGTAGTGTACGTCCACAATTCCGCTCCTCGTCTTCATCGAGTTAAAAGGCTTTCAACTCCCGTCCTTAGTGTCGTACACGACCAGCGTCCAATGTGAGTCTTTGTAAATTGGGAAATGTACGTAACGAAAGAGCTTTGCAGCATGCAAGTTGTCCATTATATACCTATTCCTTGACCGTACATTGTTGTTCTTCATCATGTCCTGCATCACCATGCGAACAAGTCACACATTATGACATCCCATAACCAAACATAACATTTATAGCCACAAACTTACTAGACAAATACTACTGAAGAAATAAGATTTATCTGGAGCATCAGCGCCCTCATTTATCCTCTCATGCTCAGCATTTAGCAGCACAGTGTATCCATCGATCACCTGTGACATTTGTACATATTGGATTCTTGCATGGTTGGGAAAAAAAAAACGCATTGCATAAATACCCATCAACACGACTTACATTCCCCCGTATCTCAAATTGGCGCACAAGTGATTTCACATCGGTGAAATACATAACAACACCATGACCATGCCCATCCCACATCACAGCCTTACATACAATCCACAACACACGTAAACCAATTAACATATGGCAGCAGTAACGCTAAACCTAAATAATTTGTTTGTACATACCTATCACCATCTCTGTTATATGCATCGGTGATTTTCTTTTTCTCCGCAGCTGTCATCATTTTCCACACGCCGTGTTTGTTGTTAATGTCAAAGCCTGACTTCTTCACGTAAACGTCAACATCATCCACATCAATTACATCCGTGCACCCACCATTTTTTGCATTGCAGTCTACGTTACTCGCAATTGAACAAACATGCACCATGTTCGATGTGCTCACCCGCCCACGTACACTCAGGCACTCAACCCCTGTCGGGGTTAACCCCTTTCTCACTTTGCATTTTACGTCCTGCACAAATGAATTATTCACAACATTCAACCGACCACCTTCTGCCATGTTTGGACTGATAACCACCACCTCTGTTCCAACCAGTACACCATGCTGTATTTCAGTGATCCTGTCTGTTTGTTCTCTTACCAGCATAACATCCCAAACTGAAACTGCATCCCCAGTTATTGCAAACACTCTGTCAGGGGTGGTATTGTTTGTTAGGTCTGTAACATGTTCGTTCCCACTTAACCCATATTTCACACCTTCTGCATTCACATCTTCACCACGGAATGCTTGCGTCACGTTATGCACTTCGCGCTTAGCAAGTTGCTCCTCTAAAACATTTACTACCCTTTTCAATTTAGCATTTTCAGTGGTGAGTTTCTTCACCTCGTTGTCCTTAGCTTGCATCAAGCTACAAAATCCTCCAACAAGATACAACGTTTGCACCTCATTCGCCTACCTCAGTGTGTCCACTTCTGCCCGTAACTCTGAAATCACACCGTCTTTCTCGTTGATTTCCAGTTCAAACTCTGCAATTTTCTCTATAGCATGGCAAATGTGTGGCCGAACGTCCAGTGTGTGCTTTCTTGCGTTTCGTGTAATAGTCCTGTTTGGTGTCTTAATATGGACCGACGCTGAACCATGTTCTACATTTCTAACATAATTCCACCGTCACCACCCGTCACATTACCTTCCATACCCATATCAACAAAATTATCCTCATGTACACTACCATAGAATTCCTCCACTGCATTTCCCGCACTCCTAGCACAGTTTACCCCATCTACCTCCAAAATCTTAACCTCATGATCTTTTGTAATCAATCGTCCAGCTGTCACCTATAAACACCACACAAAAAATTCATGAACAATTTTCAAATAGTGTCACCGTATACTTGTACACAAAATACCGTTACGATAGGTATCATACAATCGTAACTGCCATTTACAATTACCTCAAAATCTACATGCCCTGATAGATTGACCACATGTGCAGCTGTTACTAACGTGGTAACATCCCACTTGAGAAACCTGGGAAACGCGGTTGCGGATACGAGCAATATGATCGTTGAATGTTCACACAGCCAATACTGTACCCCACATCACACACAACAAACAATAAAGTCCAAATTAGCTACATGAATAGACCACATATAACATAAATAAATCGCTTGCAATTAATGACACAACCAACAAATAAATTACAAGCGTACCATCAATGCGACGACACATCTGGTTACTTTTTTAGGTGTTCGATAGAAGTCCCTCACCGAACTCATCAACGAGCTACGGATTGCACCTGTCCAATCGTACGTTTTCATTGCATCCAAATTATCCACATATCGGATTAGCGCCCAGTTGATTGTTTCCTCAAAATTTGAGAAGAATAATTTCCCACAAGCATATAAGCATAGCAGCTCTGCGGTGTCTTCCACATCACGAGCAGTACTGCCCTTCGCAGCTTCGACTAGTAGGGTCCATATCAGTTTCGAGGTTATGTGATTAATGTTACGACACCTACGTTGTACAAAGTCGGACGGTGGCTTAGGTCGAGGGGTCAAATCAAGGCAACCAAAACCACATTGGATCCCAAATATTAACTTGATGTCATCATCGTTTACGCACACGCTTTGTCCGCCTGCGCGAAACGTCCCATCCCGTGCATTGTATGCCCGGATGATATTTACCACTAGGTCGTCCCCTTTGCGGAACTCTACGTGGTCAAGTTGATTTATCAAAATTGCTTCAAACATCAACCAGAATAGTGTTTTTTTAAGGTGGACAAGGTGTTTGTCTCGCAAATTCAGCGTGTACACCAACTTCACAATGCCTGCAATGTTTGACCAGAAGTTGAGCCTCGTACGGTTACGCTTCGGTGTGACACTTGGACGATTAACAATTTTTGTTTATTTGAACAGGATCCATCCTTGCCTACATACCCCAAGTTCATTTGTCGTTTCACTGGCTACATCTTGACGTTTACGCTCACATGAACGCATCCATGGACTGTTTGTCCTCCTAACCCCTGCATTTTGAACATCAAATCAAATATCAGTTACGTAAGCCAAACATTCCAAAGGAAACTATATTACAATGCTATAACATGTCAACACCATATGTTACAACGTAATCGTATGCACAACAACACACATACGGTTGGCAACAAAACAAGGCAGGGGATGTACGTGATTTAAATCGCTATACACGGTAAACAACAAAAAGACTCATCAAAGTAACTGAACTTATTAAAACACAACATTTGACTAACCACGTACCACCAACAACAAGAACCAAACTAAGATATTGTCACATAACATTTTATATTAAAGTTTGACTTTTTAATGTACGCAAAGTACATATCAAACAGTTATAACGGAATGGACATACCAACATCCACCCGACATAACACACCGTAATTTAAATATGGCCGCATGCAAATCATGGCCGAACCCCACAAAAATGTGCCTTTCACATCTATATGAATTTAGATGCGTATCAACACGCACGTACCGTTTCACCCAATGTAACATTAACGGCCAGTCACGTTATGCACTTCGCGCTTAGCAAGTTGCTCCTCTAAAACATTTACTACCCTTTTCAATTTAGCATTTTCAGTGGTGAGTTTCTTCACCTCGTTGTCCTTAGCTTGCATCAAGCTACAAAATCCTCCAACAAGATACAACGTTTGCACCTCATTCGCCTACCTCAGTGTGTCCACTTCTGCCCGTAACTCTGAAATCACACCGTCTTTCTCGTTGATTTCCAGTTCAAACTCTGTAATTTTCTCTATAGCATGGCAAATGTGTGGCCGCACGTCCATTGTGTGCTTTCTTGCGTTTCGTGTAATAGTCCTGTTTGGTGTCTTAATATGGACCGACGCTGAACCATGTTCTACATTTCTAACATAATTCCACCGTCACCACCCGTCACATTACCTTCCATACCCATATCAACAAAATTATCCTCATGTACACTACCATAGAATTCCTCCACTGCATTTCCCGCACTCCTAGCACAGTTTACCCCATCTACCTCCAAAATCTTAACCTCATGATCTTTTGTAATCAATCGTCCAGCTGTCACCTATAAACACCACACAAAAAATTCATGAACAATTTTCAAATAGTGTCACCGTATACTTGTACACAAAATACCGTTACGATAGGTATCATACAATCGTAACTGCCATTTACAATTACCTCAAAATCTACATGCCCTGATAGATTGACCACATGTGCAGCTGTTACTAACGTGGTAACATCCCACTTAAGAAACCTGGGAAACGCGGTTGCGGATACGAGCAATATGATCGTTGAATGTTCACACAGCCAATACTGTACCCCACATCACACACAACAAATAATAACGTCCGAATTAGCTACATGGCTACACCACATGTAATATAAATAAATCGCTTGCAATTAATGACACAACCAACAAATAAATTACAAACGTACCATCAATGCGACGACATATCCGGTTACTTTTTCAGGTGTTCGATAGAAGTCCCTCACCGAACTCATCAACGAGCTACGGATTGCACCTGTCCAATCGTACGTTTTCATTGCATCCAAATTATCCACATATCGGATTAGCGCCCAGTTGATTGTTTCCTCAAAATTTGAGAAGAATAATTTCCCACAAGCATATAAGCATAGCAGCTCTGCGGTGTCTTCCACATCACGAGCAGTACTGCCCTTCGCAGCTTCGACTAGTAGGGTCCATATCAGTTTCGAGGTTATGTGATTAATGTTACGACACCTACGTTGTACAAAGTCGGACGGTGGCTTAGGTCGAGGGGTCAAATCAAGGCAACCAAAACCACATTGGATCCCAAATATTAACTTGATGTCATCATCGCTTACGCACACGCTTTGTCCGCCTGCGCGAAACGTCCCATCCCGTGCATTGTATGCCCGGATGATATTTACCACTAGGTCGTCCCCTTTGCGGAACTCTACGTGGTCAAGTTGATTTATCAAAATTGCTTCAAACATCAACCAGAATAGTGTTTTTTTAAGATGGACAAGGTGTTTGTCTCGCAAATTCAGCGTGTACACCAACTTCACAATGCCTGCAATGTTTGACCAGAAGTTGAGCCTCGTACGGTTACGCTTCGGTGTGACACTTGGACGATTAACAATTTTTGTTTATTTGAACAGGATCCATCCTTGCCTACATACCCCAAGTTCATTTGTCGTTTCACTGGCTACATCTTGACGTTTACGCTCACATGAACGCATCCATGGACTGTTTGTCCTCCTAACCCCTGCATTTTGAACATCAAATCAAATATCAGTTACGTAAGCCAAACGTTCCAAACATACTGTTTTGGAAACTATATTACAATGCTATAACATGTCAACACCATATGTTACAACGTAATCGTATGCACAACAACACACATACGGTTGGCAACAAAACAAGGCAGGGGATGTACGTGATTTAAATCGCTATACACGGTAAACAACAAAAAGACTCATCAAAGTAACTGAACTTATTAAAACACAACATTTGACTAACCACGTACCACCAACAACAAGAACCAAACTAAGATATTGTCACATAACATTTTATATTAAAGTTTGACTTTTTAATGTACGCAAAGTACATATCAAACAGTTATAACGGAATGGACATACCAACATCCACCCGACATAACACACCGTAATTTAAATATGGCCGCATGCAAATCATGGCCGAACCCCACAAAAATGTGCCTTTCACATCTATATGAATTTAGATGCGTATCAACACGCACGTACCGTTTCACCCAATGTAACATTAACGGCCACACAAAGACATACATCCGTGACACACAACCCCCCCATCATTTGCCCATTCCCAAAACATTTCACAGACAAGTTGGCATATTAATGTCGACCGCATCAAACTACATGGATGCCCCACAAATACACACACTACATTATTAACACACCCCACCACACTATGCGTTTTAATGGGAAATTCAGTTGGTCTTCATATAAGCGACACCACACACCAACCCACCAAAACAACCACGCACTACAACCTACTGATTCGACCAACATAATAAGCACTAACACACGTCATATGCAACCAATATTAACAACCAAAAAGTGGATTCCAGTCATCGTTGATGAGTGTGAATAAGTTTTGTAAACAAGAAACGAATCATAAATTCTGTAAACACAATCGGGTAATTACGTTTACCAATCATCGTCGATGAGTGTGAATAAGATATTCCTCCAACGTAATCTTCCCCTAAACGACGTAAGGTTGTCACGTCACACCACTCTTTAGGGTTTTATCCCAAACCAAAACTATAGAAACAACATAGGGACTGCAACTGTAACGTTTTGAATCACCAAATCTTTGGAAAGCCACACCAAAGCTCCACCATGGGAACCGATTGACGAAATTTGAATTTTGAACCACAGAATCTCACCCCTTAATTTTAGGGCATGATTCATTTACCTACCAATTAGGTGGTGTTTCCAAATTGGGGATTTCAAACGTTAACAGGGCGGGGCACCGTGGGTCTCGTTTGCATATGTTGCAGTATCTCAACGTGACACCCAACCACAGTCATCCATCACATTAACACTGTCAAACTGTAATAACCCCGGCCTCCGATTAATGCTAAACCATGATTAGGTATGCCTAACAGCAATTTAGAAAGAATCCGGAATTACATTGCATATGTATTGCATTATCTTAGTGTTTTTATCTGTATGCCATAAAATGATCTGTTCGTGTTTTATGTTTTAAGCTGCAAATTAAAGGCCTTATCAGCGACCAAATCCGAAATTGATTAGTGTTATGTGTTAATTAGAATTTATGCGATTTTATGGTAGATTTAATTTAAATTTGATTGGGTATGATTAAATAAAGTTAAATCACATCACCTTAACTTAATTGCATTTTTGCCACTTAGTGGACAATCTTAGACCTACACTCTTTATACTTCATTCATGTTGATACAACATTCCTTCAGCCCTTTTTTGAGCTAAAACCGTGAGAGAGAGAGAGAGAGAGTGAGTGAGGTAGGAATTTGAGTTCAACAAGAGATTTGACTTGGAACTTAGGAGAATTGAAGAAGCTTTGCAAATTTGAGCTCCTAGACTTGGAATTCAAGGTTTAAGGTAGGAGATTTCCCTTTCAATTGTGCATTTAAGTTTAATTCTTACATGGCTCATGGAAGATTAGAGTTTAAACTCTAGAATTGGTTTTAAGAGTTGGATTTGAGAGTGAATTCATGCATGCATGCACATATTCTTGGATTTTGGAGTTGTTCTTTATGAATTTCCACATGCATGTCCACATTTTTGTTATAGTCCATGAATTCATTCTATTCTTGAGCTTAATCTTGTTTTGGATCATGTTTTGGAACATTAGAAGTCATGAGAATTCATGCATGTTACATTTAAGTTATGTTCTTAGAGTTCATGTTGATTTTGCACAAATTGGTTTACTCTTGAGCCATGATTTCTTGAATTGAAGCTTTAAACATATTGTTTTATGGGTTACCAAGTGTTTTCCAAAGTTTTGGCCCAGAAAAATGAGTTTTGGACGGTTGAGGGTCGAGTTTCATGTTTGGAGGTCAATCTGGATTTTCTAGAAATTTAACCCACGCTCGAGCGGGGACTTTCACGCTCAAGCGTGAAGCCTGAGTACATGCACTTCTGCTCGAGCGGCGAAAGTCACGCTCAAGCGTGAAATACGTATACCCAGAAGTTTGTGTGTTTTGCAGTCCGCTCGAGCAGGGGAATCCACGCTCGAGCGAGGGTCTGTGTCACACGCTCGAGCGGGGGTCAAGCGCCCGTCGAGCTTGAATTTCATACATCCAGCACTTTTTCTTAAGTTTGCAGTACGCTCGAGCGAGGAAGTCCACGCTCGAGCGAAGCTTCATATTTGCATGTCCGCTCGAGCGTGGACTTTACCTTCGGCAAAATTTATGAAATGTTTTCCAAGGCATCTTTGCATTCTCATTCTATCCTAAGCATTCCTAGGCCATGTTTAAGACTCTATAGTGAGGATTTAAGGTTATAAACACACTAAGAGCCAACGACGTAAGTTTTGTACAATTAGAACGTGTGTTTCAAGTGTGTATCTGTTATGTGTTATGTAGGTTACGTGCCGCGTGTCGTGTGATCAATCTGCTCCGTCTGTCTGTTTTAAGGCCAACTGTGAGTAATAATTTAGTAAAGTTATGTTTAAACTGTATCTACTTTCTGTGTGATAAAACAAGATCTGTTTTCTGAAATGATATGTTCTGTACAATGAATGATTGTTCAATTTTTGATATGTATTCACAACATCCTTAACATCATGTGATATCTATTAGCTGTTACCCGGTATCGGAGGTTCCTTTACGGAACTTATTTCTGTCTGCACTCCGTTACCCGTACCGGAGGCCCTGTCACGGGAGCTCAGCTTCTATTCTGTTCTGTTACCCGGATCCGAAGATTCCTTTATGGAACTGGTTATTCGTAACCTCACGTGTATACATTCTGTTCTGTTCTGTTGTGTTTATGCTAATGGATGTATCACGTAAACTTAATCATGACTTTTGATTTCTGTCTGTATATGATCTAGATAAACTATGATTTTGATATGAACTGAATTATGATTTCTAAATCTATACGAACTCATTCATTGAAACCCTTTACTCTATTATTATTCACTAGGCTTGCGTTTACAGTTTATATTATGTATGTATGTGAGCCGGTATGTGACCAAGGCCAGAGTTGACGGCCTTCTGTTCTGTTTCGTCAGCCAACTGTTGCGCCTCCCGAAGAGGTTCCGGTTGAAGTCTAATGCTATGGCTGTTTTTGTATGCATGCTAGTTTATGTTTTTGTCTTGTAAAGACGGGTCTTGGGATGTAATACTTTGTAAATATTGGTGTCCTTTGACTGGCATGCTTATGTATATATGAATAAGTTTTGAAATGTTCTGTCCCATGTACGTTATCACAACTCATTGGACCTTGTCTATTTTGTATTATTGCTTCCGCAGCCCTTTATTATTTGCTAATCTGTTCAGAGGTCTTTGGTAATCCACGGATTACTGGCCGGTTACGGTGCTAAACCTACAGGGGCAGGTTTGGGTCGTGACACAAACCCCCATACGCACTATACTCAATGGCATTCTAGTCATTCGATGTACATAAAGACCAAGTGGTGCAAAAGAAAACATTTAGGATCATTCGGACCATAAGTTCAAAATGGGGGATTTACCAGTCAATTCCCCTATAAAAATTTAGATAAAAAATATCATAAAAATGTTATAATAGTGATATTGTTGTAAATGTAAATCATGTTTATGGGTGTCTTGTTTTAAAGTAAAAGATCATCATTAAGCTATATCATTGTATTTGAAAATTTTTATATTTGTATATCATCATTCAATAAGAATATGTTCAGACATAATTTAATAATGAAAAATTGTAAAATGTAATAATCATGATATAAAGAAGAAATGGTAGGAAAAAAAGGCAAAATGGTCGTTTAAAAAATTTTAAGATATGACATCAACAATTCAGGAAACAATTTGTAATAAGATTACAAACTTCAGGGAGGAGAATGCAATTTTTCAAATGTGATGGTAGAATCTGGATGAAACAGAAACCTCAGGAGGTGTTAGTGTAATTTACCCTTCCTTCTTTCTTTTTTTTTTTTTTTTTTTTTTTTTTTTTTTTTTCATTTTGTGAAAACAGCACCATTTCATTCATTATACAAACAAAATTGAATAGCAATTGAATTATTGACCTTTTAATTATTCCAGTTAACTTCAGACTGCCAGTCAAGTCGTATTTAAAAAACCAAAAGAGAATGGCTACTTGATATTGTTAATTACATTTAATGTCGCTTGTATCTTTACCAAAATTACACTCTAATCCCTCTACTTTCGTCCTTAACACTTTTATGCTTTTATCAAAATCTCATTAAAGTCTCTCCGACAATTTTCGATATGGCATTATAACAATAAGCACAATCATCAATCATGAACATAACATAACATGCCGATGGCCAATCGTCCGAGTTACTATCCACTAGTGAAAATTAAACCAAACAATGTAATGTTTTGTGCTCTGAATTTGATCTTAGGTTGGTATTTGCGGAGAACCGTCATAGAGAAGGGGGAACTTTGAGGTATACATTAACTAATACAACTAAACGCAACTCAACTATATACCTAATGTGCTGACAGTTGAGTCAGATCATGCCAATAGGTAAGTCATTTAATGGCTTTGAAACCTAAAGCCCAACTCATGAACCACAACAGCCTGGAAGAATTCGGCATGAAACTATTTTACCAAAACGACCCACGAAGCTATGTATTCAGGTGCAAGGTTAGCAACTAAGCATAAATAGGCTCTATCCATAAAGGATTTCGATAACTCCCTTAGATGAAGGTTATAGTTAGTGCCATGTACACCACAAATTGTGCTATGTGCTCTCTAGTGTTTCCTTCCTTTCAGTCAAGGCGTTTGAACTTCTTACACCAGTCAAAAAATTTATGTACTTATAGAAGGTTGACATTAACAATCACTTAATAAGAATCCTATTAAAAGGTATGGCCACTATATACAATAATATATCCATTATTTTGCCCGGAGAACAAAACTAATTTCATTCATATGGACACCATGTACAACATACTGCGATGAATGAATTTGAATGTGGAAAAGATAAGCCTGGTTCTGTCTTAAAAATGCAAATGGAAATTGATGAATAGGTGAAAAGCAAGGCAATAAGCTCAGAACTAATGAAGAACATACCGCAGAATACATGATTTATGAACTGCATGCATTGTCCTCAAGAATCATCCCTGTATCACTCTTTGCCAACCATATTTGAATTCAGACTCATAATTTCGGAGCAAGTAGATGACTTCAGAGTTAAAAAATTTGCAAGGCTTTCATCCCTTGCTGGATTTATCAGCTTCCCAACATCCATACCCATCACAGTTTCTATCACGGGCTGATCAATCCCAACTTGGAAACTACCAAGCCTTATAAGATGTATGGCATCATCAGTAGCGGGAGGAAGATCATAAGTGTTTTCCTGTATTTTATATAACAAATTAGTTATCTTTTTTTTTGTGGGTAAAAGTAACAAATTAATTATCACCATACAACATTTTTCGAACAATTAATAATCATAATATGACATTGTCATAAAATAGCATTTAATAAAGCTGAAGAGGGAATGCGGAAACTGTGACTTCTCTGTAATTGATTTAAGCTCTATCCATGTGATTTATTGAGAACTTATAAATGACATTGTCCATGTACAAAGATTATTTAAAGATCAAATTGAAAATGAGCTTCAACTCAATGATTTGAGAGCAGTTCCACAAATCGGAGCATTACAATAGACTCGGTCCTCTGTTGCCCAGCCACCCAAATAAATCAACCCAGAGTTCGCCGATGATTGACCTGGCAGCCAAAGAGGCCCCCAAAAATTTCAATTCATTCGAATATGGTGAGTTCATAAATTTTTTATGCCATATTAGGTCTGTCAACCAATACTAGCCACCAAAACATAGGAAAATATAAGTATACAGACTATAATCTACTTGGAAAATTGCCGACAGATGTTCAAGTGAGGAAATGATTTGCATGCCATAGAAAATAGTAATTTACAGATGTAAGACCAATGCTACCAAAAAATGCTACTACCTTAACGAATTCTGTTTTGGAATGCACTTTTTGAAATATGACTTTTGTTTCGAAAAACAATAAATTTAGCTATCTAAAGTGATCCCAAAAGTTTTTTTTCCCAATATATTTCCTAAAGGTTTCCTTAAGAGGAAAAAAATCGAATATAATGAATTAAAATCTAATGTGAGTGAAGTTTCGACAATACAAAACGTAAAAAATGGGTCACAATGCTTATATAAATGTGTAACATGACTAATTTGAAAAGAAAAAAAAAATCTTACATTTATCATATGTCTAATTGTTACAAGAAAATCTCTAGAAATACCTTAAATTCCTATAATATAATCTATAGAAGTCACTCCTATCATACCGCATTTTAAATCATGCGACATACTACGTTCCCATTCCCATTCTACGTACCATAATGATCCGCATTTGAGGTAACATAGTGTAAGACATACACCAAGACCGAACAAATTTACAATTCAAATTATCAAATCCCTACAAAGTATCCCATTCTCCCACCAACCAACAGAAGAATATAAGGTAAGATTTCAAAAGGATAAGCAATGAGCAAAATCAAATTTTGGAAGTTATGGAACCCAAATGGATGGGAGCATCTTCCTCTTATAATGATGCCCATGATATATATATTTCCTAATCCTTTTCTTTCTGCTTTCCTTTTGACCATCTGGTTATTGATGACTTAATCAAATAAACAATCAATATGGCAAGCTACAACAACACAATAACTAATGACTGGGAACAAAGTAATGGAACCAAGTGAAAAAACTCGGAGTCGAAGCAACTGAGCACACACTAGGCAACTGCCTAAAACCTAATGTAAGCCATTGGAGGCACAGCTTGGAAAGCAATCACTTAGGCATTAACCAGGATAAGTTAAGAGCCCATGAAGATGGCTTCATCATAGTCAATTAAAAGAATAACATGTCTAACACCAGTGCAAGAAACTTTTGGCTTACAAGGAGGGGGATGAACGATGGCGGACTTTTTCCGAGTACAGTCTCATTTCGGTATAAAAGCCATCTCTTCGGTTCGGTCAAGGTAAAGGACCAATGGACAATCGGTGTATTTTAATTATTAATCCTGTCATATCCTGCAACCAAATGTAAAATGCCATCATTAAACATTGCACAAATTAAGCACAGTGAGGGATTCATATAATGGAAGAACTGAATTGAGTAAAGCTTTTAAAAAGGAAAATAAGATTGATATAATAAATAAGCACTTATACAGTTCTGTGATCCTACAATAACTTTGCCCTAGAAAATAAAAAGAAAAGGAAGGTCTCGATGAAGTACATGGTTTTAGGGACAATACATAAACTCTTTGCAGCACTAAAAGCTTGATGAATGTGCTTGTGTTCATATAATATGACAATGTACACCATTTATCAAACAACATTACATTGACATGAATGCCAGACAAAGATTCGAGACAAATTTTACACATAAAAATCTTGAAAGAATAGGAAATTAAACACTTGTAGAGTTTCAGTGTAAAAACCACAATTGTTCACAACCCACATTATATCACAGATGACTGAACTCTATAAGCTAAGCGATAAACAAATGAAGGCAATGTTATACACCACGAACTGCTGGATCATAATCTCTCATTATCTTCTGAATTACCTCTGCTAAAAATACTGCCCGTTCGATTTTTTTCATCAATTCAGCCCTGTTCGCAGGTTATAACATCAACAATGTGAAATTTTACACAATGTTAATTTTAGAGGCTAAACTACCAATAAGTCCTAATAGTTGGATTTAATTTCCATCAAATCATATTGAAAATAAGTTCTAGTAAAATCATTGCTAAAAATAATTTTTTGTGATATTTTTTGCATATATCGTTAAAAATTGACAATTAGTGACTTTTTTTTGTCACAATTTTTATAAATTGTTGCTAAAACTTGCAATTAGTAGCGTTTTTTTGTGACGAATTTTTCATACTATCACTGAAAATTGAAAATTAGTAACATTTATTTGTGATGATTTTTTTAAGTTGTCGCTAAAATTTATAATTAGTGACATTTTTTGTGACAATTTTTAAATTATTACTAAAAATTAATAATTAGTAACAATTTTTTTAATAATATTTGATAAAAACGCCATTAATTCTCACCATTAAATAATAAGTCCACCTATCTACACGTAAGACCCCCCCTAATTTACAAGGGGAAAAAATTGGGGAAAACACTCAATCACCATTCAGATTTTCTGAAAACTCAACAATGCAAACATAGCAACCCTACAATATGATTTGTGACTGGTAATTCAGGAAAAACAAACAAACAAGCTCACGGTATAAATCAGGAACCAAGTTATAAGTAAAATTTGACAATTGTAGAAAGAATTGAGGTGTCTGACCTTCTCTACACATGCTTCCTTAAATTCAACAATACACGGGTGTTGAATCAGTGGAATTAGAGCCATCTACGATTTGAAAAATCCAAATTACTCCAAGGCTACATTACCAATGCGTACAGAATCTACAGAGTGTGCTTTGATTTCTTGTCTAGCCGCGATCAGATTCGAATCAAAATTCACCTTTTCGAAACTCGCTCAATGCACTTGTCAATAAAGCAAGACATCTGGGTTCGTTTCGTTCAGCTGTTTGTTTCTTTTCCCTCTTTTTGTCCCGGTTTTTTCAAATTTTTTTCCCTCCTTTCACCCTCCCTCTTATTTTTCCCCCAAAAAATTGAGTATAGGAATATATTGGATTTTTTAAAAATATTTTAAAAAACAAATCAAACTATTTATTAAAAAATGACTCACTTTTTAAATTATTTATCAAACTAATTTACTTTTTAAAAAATACAAGTTCAGGATGTGACTTTATCATGAAATTGCATATTCAAAATGTAATTTTATATTAATTTAACTTACTGATATGTTGATGTGAGTTATGCTAAGGCCCCGTTTGGGGACTTACTTTTTTAGTCAATTAGTCAAAAAGTTACTAAATTAGCCAAAAAGTCAACAACTTAACAAAAAGTCAAAGATTTTCTTTTCTCTCTACTTTTTGCACATCTTTTCGTAATTAGCCAAAAAGTCATCCCAAACATACAAGTTTTTTTTACCTACCTTTTTAGCCAAATAGCCAAAAAGTTACTAAATTAGCATGTTCCCAAACGAGGCCTAATATGAAATTGTATGTTCAATATGTAATTTCATCATAAAATAGTATTTTAAACTTGTGATTTTAAAAAATAAATTAATTTGACAAAATAGTTTAAAATTTTAATTATTTATCTAAATAGTTTTTTGCTACACTTTTTCGTTTTATGTGGGGTCTTTTTTTTTTCTTTTGACGTTTAAAGTTTTTTCTTCTCTACTTAAATCCTTTATATTTTAAGTTTTTTTTTAATTTATTCTCAAAATTAATTTATACTTAAAATTAAACAAAAAATGATATATAACGTGATATAAAATATTTTATTATGTATAATTCATTCTTTTGACACAAATTTAAAATCAATATAATAATATATTTTTATATTATATAATAGTTAATGTGATATTTATTATCTAATTTTAAATAAAAATTAATTTTAAAAATTAGTTAAAAATACTTGAAACATAAAAAGTTAAATTGAAAAAAATAAAATTTTAAAGAATAACGTGAAAAAATAATCAAATAAAAGGAAGGCAAAAGTGTTATTTACGGAATATTACGGGTGCTGCTACGTGGGCCGACAGTCAGCCCAAATATGACTAAGTATTGCTTCTTACGCCGACAGTTGGGCAGATACCGACTAACCTAGTCGGTTATGATTGGGCTTGTTTGAAAATTAGTTTTTTAATTTTATAAAAAATAATAATAAAATAATTTAACAATTTATAATAATAATTTTTTAACATTTTAACTAAAATATTTAATGCTCAAACATAACCTAATTGTCCATGTGGAGCATGTATTATTGGGCCAATCTTATTCATCCATGTATGTGGGCTTCGGCCTATACGTCGTCCATGACATCATCAAAGTTGATCAAAACCAAAGACAAATTCCAAGTCTTCTCCCACCTCACAAAAGCCGTCGTTAACTTCTGGGTATGTGGGCCAGACTCAAAAATTAAAAATTAATTGTATAAAATCCAGTGCTTTAAGGATAATGTGACCATAATCTTACAATCTACACGTGTCACTACGTCATGGATACTGCATAAATTTATAAAAATAGCACCGTTATATCTGCGCAATTTTTTTCGGGAAAACGATGAGACCCCAAGTGGGAGTAGGAATGGCAACGGGGCGGGGCGGAACCGGGGACTACCCCCGTTCTCGATCCCCGAAAGTAATACTCCCCCCGTTCTCGTCCCCGTCCCCGATCCCCGATGGGGACCCCTATCCCGGCCCCATCCCCGCCCCCGATCGGGGATCGGGGATCCCCGACCCCGGATAATCCCCGGTTTTTTTTTTTTCATATGTAAAAATCTATAAACATCAATAAACATTCTCAGTCACCCTTCACTACTGGATGTATAAATTTTGGAATTTATCAATTGGAATATCAACCCTAATAGCTTCATTTTTTTAATTAATTAGAGCTGTAGCAACATCCATAATATCTGCGCAATTTTTTTCGCTTAAGTACACACAGTTGAGATGCTTACCAATACGAGTCTTCCGACGAGATTAATCTTATAAAAGTACCTGAAAGTCATTATGGCTTCACATCATTTTTTTATTTTTTTTTGGATAAATTACACTGACACCCTCTAAGTTTTATATTTATTATAATTTTTCCTTTATATTTGAGAAATTACACTAACCTCCTGTTAATTTAATTTTATGTATGATGATCATTACGGTAATGGGGGAACTGTTATGAAACTTTAAACCTCAGGGGCAATCTGTAATGAAACTTTAAATCTCAAGAAGGGGATATAATTTTCAAAAGGTAAGGGAGAAACTGTAATAAACATAAATCTCAGGGGGTGTCATTGTAATTTACCCTATTTTTTAATATATTTATGTAAATATGTTAGACTATTTTAATATCTTTTTCTATTTTAATATCTTTTATTTATTTATTTATATATTTTTGTTCATGAATTTTTTTTTGTTTTATTCATGAATCTTGTCTTGTTCATAAATAGAGATTCATTATTTTGGTGACCTTTTGTCTTGTTCATGAATGGAGATTAATTGAAATTTATAAACTTGGTGGTGAGTTAATATTTCGAGACTCTCCATTTTCTCTAATTTAATGGTTATTATTATTTTTAGTGTAATTTGTAAGGTCCTAGTAGCCTATAAATAGTTCTTCTCATCTACTTTTTTTTACAACTACACCAATTATTTTTCTATACTTGAGAGATTACTAGTCAAAGAATGGTATTTTTTCTTGGTGGAACTTTGGGTTCACCATCTTGTGCAGAGTTAGCTTAAACCATACGACAAGTGATAGGGCTGTTGTATCCTGGAGGGGACGAGCCATGGTTTTATGACTGCTGCATCAGTATTTGGGTTCTTCCTACCACAGTGGGCATGATCTGCTTAAAGAAAATGAGATATCCGTACCTCAGCCTAATCTATTTGTATCTCATTTTCTTTGCATTATTTATCAATAAAATATAATTTTTCTGGTATTTTCTCTAATAATTTTAAGGTAATCAACCATGGAATAAGTACCAGAAAAAATCAATGACGAAATTGGAGATCTCAACAAGCTTTTCAAGTTCAAGGGAGTTCATTTTAAGAGGTGGAAAGGAAAAATTATTTTTTGCCTCACCCTTTTGAAAGTTACATATGTGCTTACCAAGAAGAACCCAAACAAAATCCCAACCGAGGAGATGAATGATGAAGATTACGAGACACATGAAACAAAAGTGGCTTCTTACAATACAGATGAGTATAAATGTCGCTTTTATCTCTTAAATTTCTTTGTTGAATAATTTTATGATTATTACTATGAAATGACTTACACTTTGTCTTCTATTAATTTTTGGCATGATCCCTTGTGTCATATTAACAGTAAATATGTGAGAATCATGAGTAGTTTAGGATTAATTCCTAAAGTGACAAAAAAAATTGAGGAATGTGATGTTTGCAGTAAAGAAAAAATTACCAAGAGGCCTCATAAAAATGTTGAAAAAAATACCGAATTGCTAGAATTATTTCATACTGATTTGTGTGAATTTGAAGAAATTTTAACTCGGGTGGTAACCGATATTTTATCACTTTTATTGATGATTTTTCAAAATACACAAACGTATATTTAGGCCAGGTTTGGCAAGTCCCAAAAAATCTAAAAAGTCAAAAAGTTACACAAAATGAAAAAAAGTCATTACTATTCACAAATAAAAAATATTAAAAACATATTTTATACATTTTTGTAATACAAAATTTTGAATTACACTGTCAGGCGTACTGCCATAGCAGGAAGGCAGGTCATACACTTTTTGGGCAAAAAAAAAAAATTACATATGTAAAGCCACGAAGTTTGATGGTAATGTTGGACCATTGGGGGCCCACTAAAGGTTCTGTTTTGATAATCCGAACCGTTCAATATGTAGAACACGTCGAGTACTATATACTTGTAAAAAATCACGTTGATCGGATATCGTTAACTATATGATCAAATCATTTTTGTATAAACAAAACCGATAGTGTGATAGTTAACTGTTGAAAAAAAACTAATACGATCATATAGCTATCGATATTCGATCAACGTGATTTTTTACAAGCATATAATACTCAAAGAGTTGTACATATTGAACGGTTCAGATTATTAAAATGGGATCCGTGGTGGCCTCCACGGAACGATCATCACTGTCCAAACACTTTGCCTCGAAGGAGGCAATAATTTGCTGTGTAAGTCACGCTGCCCTAGCAGGACATCCGTATAACCTACTCAACTTTCTTCTCCTGTACACTTTATTTATACAATTTTTTATTACACACTTTTTCGTAAAAAGACAAAAAATTAACCCAAACAACTATATTTTTTTCCTCAACTTTTTAGTCCAAAAAGTCAAAAAGTGCATTTATTTAGGATACCCCAAACAACCCCAAACACATTTACGAAAAAATGTGTATTAAGTACTGAACCATTAATCAGTACAAAACGCTGTCAGTCCTTGTTTGTATTAAAATATTGTAGAAAATATTTTTTTTATATTTTTAATTTGTGAATATTGATAACTTTTAAATTTTTTTTAGTAACTTTTTAGCTTTTTAGCTTTTTCCTGGTATGCCAAACTAGGCTTAAAAAATAAAAGTGGTGATTTTGAGAAATTTAAAAAATTCCTTCTTGAAGTGAAAAATCAATTCGGTAAAAAGATTAAGAGAATTCGAAGTGATAAAGGTCGGGAGTATGAATCTCTTGGATTCAACTCTTTTGTTCATGCGACTACTCCATCATATTCACCTTCATCTAATGGCTTAGCTGAAATAAAAAATAGAACTTTAATTGTCTTGACGAATGCTATGCTTATTGATTCAAGTGCTCCCTCAAATCTTTGGGGCGATGCTATTTTGATAGCTTGCTATGTGATAAATAGAGTGCCACACAAAAAGACTAAAATTATACCTTATGAGTTGTGGCAGGGCATAAACCAAATCCATGTTATTTGAAGGTTTGGGGTTGTTTAGCTTTTGTGAGGTTTGCAAATCCTAAACGACCTAAATTGGGTGAACGAGTTACCACTTGTGTTTTTCTTGGGTATGCGTTACATGGTACAGCTTTATAGATTTTTTGATATGGAAAATAATATTATTTTTGAATTATGTGATGCTATTTGTCATGAAAACAAATTTCCTTTCAAATCTAGAAATTGTGGGGGTCAAATAATTTCTGAAAATATTTTATCCGTGCCTAGCTCTTCTACTCCATCTCAAGTTTTTCAAGGATAAGAAAATTCTCAAATCCAACCAAGGAGAAGTAAACGAGCTAGAGTTGAAAAAGATTTTGGCCCTGACTATTATCTTTATAATGTGGAAGAAATTCCTCTTACGGTGTAAGAAGTTTTATCGTCACCAGATACTATTTTCTGGAGAGAGGCTGTAAATGATGAGATAGATTCACTACTTTCAAATAAAAACATGGAAACTAGTGGACTTACCTTCAAGTTGTAAAACTATTGGGTGTAAATGGGTCATTCGTAAAAAACTTAAATAGGATGGAACTATAGATAAATATAAAACGAGACTTGTCGCTAAAGGTTTTAAGTAACAAGTTGATCTTCATTTCTTTGATACTTTTTCTCCGGTTACTAGAGTTACATTTATTAGACTGTTGATAGCAGTGGCTGCAATTCATGATTTAAAAAATCATTAAATGGATGTAAAAATAACATTTTTAAATGGAGATTAGATGAGGAGATTTACGTGGACCAATCCGAAGGCTTTGTGGAGCCTGGCTAAGAAAGTAAGGTTGTAAGCTAACTAAATTCCTTTATGGTTGAAAATAAGCTCCTAAACAGTGGCATGAGAAATTTGATTCCTGCATCATTGAGAATGGCTATAAGACTAATGAATGTGATAAGTGCATATATTATAAAACTTGTGAGAATGCACATGTGATTATTAGCCTATATGTGGATGATCTATTTATCTTTGGCTCTAATTTGCATATTATATATGAGACAAAAAAATATGCTTAATAGCTACTTTGATATAAAAGATCTTGGTGAAGTCAATTTTATTTTGGGAATTAAAATTACCAAGACTAAGGATAACATTTTTCTTGATCAGTCGCATTATGTTGAGAAATTTTTTAAAAAATATAACTTTTTAGACTGTAAATATGTTACTACTCCTTTTGATACAAGCATGCATTTGTCTGTTGTAACAATTGAAAAAGAATTGATTAATCAAAAGGAATATGTTAGCATGATTGGTGGTTTGAGATATGTTATTGACAGTACTAGACCTGACATTGCATATGCTGTTGGAGTACTTAGCAGGTTTACTAGCAAGCCAAGTCAAGATCATTGGCTAGCCATGGGAAGAATTATGATATATTCATTTGGTACCAAAAATTATGGTTTGTTTTATAACAAGTATCCTGTGGTACTTGAGGGATATAGTGATGCCGATTGGAACACTTTGTCAGGTGATTCTTTCTCTACCTCGGGGTTTTATTTTCACCTTGGGTGGCGGTGCTATATGTTGGAAATCTAAAAAAAGACTATAATTGCTAATTCTACAATGGAAGCTGAACTTATAGCATTAGCTTCAGCATGTGAGGAAGCGAATTGGTTGAAAGATTTGTTACATGAAATCCTTTTTTGGGAAAAAACCAATTCCTCCTGTGTTAATTCGTTGTGATAGCACTGCTGCTATTGGTAGAGTGAACAATCATTTTTATAATGGTAAATCCAGACCTATTCGAAGGAAATACAGTAATGCGAGATCCTATTCGAGTAATGATATCATAACTGTGAATTATGTAAGATCTTGTGATAATCTTGCGGATCCGTTAACCAAGGCCTTGGCGAGAGATAGGATCTGGAATACATCGAGGGAGTTAGGTTTAAAGCCTATAAAATCATAAACCATGTATGAGGATACCCAACCTAGGGACCAGAGATCTTATAACTAGGTTCAATGAGAAAAACAAATCATATAGTGGTTGTAAAAAATGCACTCCTTAACATTTTGATGTCCATCCCTATGATGTAAGTGTATTTGTCCTGTAATGTTGAAGGGTTGAGTTTTTATACTCTTAATGAAATTCTGTAGCTCTTGTTGAGTGGGGTGTGTCAATTACAAGAACATCCTCGACAGATTTCACCTATGTGAGCATGAAAGTGGGGCCGCTTTCTATGAGAATAAGGCTTATTTTCAAATATGCTCATGAAAACTGAGATAAGCACAAGTCTTGAAAACTAGGAAAAGCACAAGGCCGTAATGTGCTGGCTATTAAAAGCTTATGTCAACACCTGAATTATTATGTGTGAGTAGTAATACTTTATTTCTCCTAAGTAGTCATAGTTCAAATCTAAGACCACTATTGACTCTGGAATAGAGATTGTTGTATCATTAATGAATGTTCAATGCGGAGCACTCCTTCATGATGCATATTAGTCTATCTTTGTTTGATAATATCTCTTGTCCTTGTTGATATTAAAATGAGTGGGGATTGTTGGACCATTTTAATATTTTTTATTTATTTATTTATATATTTTTGTTCATAAATTTTCTTTTTTCTTGGTCATGAATCTCATCTTGTTCATAAATAAAGATTCATTGTTTTGGTGACCTTTTGTCTTGTTCATGATTGAAGATTAATTAGAGTTCATGAACTTGGTGGTGAGTTAATATTTGGAGACTCTCAATTTTCTCTAGTTTTATGGTCATTATTATTTTTGGTGTAATTTGTAAGGTCCTAGTAGCCTATAAATAGTTCCTCTCATCTACTTTTTTCTACAACTACACCAACTATTTTTTTATACTTCAGAGATTACTAGCCAAAGAAGGGTGTTTTTTCTTGGTGAAGTTTTGGGTTCACCATCTTATGCAGAGTTGGCTTGAACCATACGACAAGTGGTCGGGCTGTTGTATCCTGGAGAGGACAAGTCATAGTTTTGTGACTGCTGCATCAGTATTTGAGTTCTTCCTACCGCAGTGGGCTTGATCTCCTTAAAGAAAACGAGATATCCGTGCCTCAGCCTGATCTATTTGTATCTCATTTTCTTTGCATTATTTATCAATAAAATATAATTTTTCTAGTATTTCCTCTAACAAAATATATATTGAAATATATTGTAAATAGGTAATGCTAAGGTCATCTAACATATACAAGTTATGTTATTTGTGAATTTAATTATTACAAATATCATAACTCAATATTATGATAGTCATAATTTTAAAAAATAAAAAAAAGAGTTATAACCAAATATCACATGAGGTATAACTTAATAAATTCTTCGATAATAATAAAAATATGTCATAATTAATATCACAATATATCACAACTAACAATACAATAGATCATAATAAAAAAACACAAAAATCGTGAACTTAACATCTACAAACCTAGATCCATTCAAAGGTCCATATCCGACCAAACCTTAGAAGTTTGTATGTGTATTGAGAAATAAAAAAATAAAAAGTTTTGTCTTAAATGTAATTAAATTAAAAGATAAAAATATAATTTTAAATAAATTTATTAAGTGTGTATAGCGTGTGACTTGCAAAATTAAAACCATGACTAAAAAAATATTAAATAATTTTTTTAAAAGTAAAATAAAATAAAATAAAAAAGTGACCAAAAAAACATTTGTCATTTTCCCTCTTTCCTCCACATTTTCCTCTCCTCCCCATATAACCCAATTGGACAGTAGAGAACAAATTGTAGCTGATTCTATCCTCCTTGTTGCCAGTGATTAAATTTAACGCAACTTGTGTACATGGTCAACCTTCTTTGGGTTTTTCCTTCCTGGAAAGCCAAACCCCCACGTTGGTGCCTCTCTGTCTCTTCAATTTGTAAATATACCTATATCTAATTCTTTGATATATATATATATATATATGATGAAGGAGATAGAATAGGAGCAAGATGAAAGAAAGAATTGAGATGGAGCAGACCCAAGGAGGAGAAGAAGCAGAGAGGCGGCGGAGGGTGGTGGTGGTTGGTGGCGGAATTGCCGGTTCCCTCGTTGCCAAATCTCTCCAATTCCACGGCGACGTCACCCTGATTGATCCGTAAGCGTTTTATTTTTCGTATTTTAAAAAAATAAATAAATTACACTTAATATCATTACGATTTATATAAAATCTAGTTTCGGGTACAATTTTTCATTATAATAGTCGATCTCTATAATTCTTGTTAAATTATGTGCAATTGACAAACACAATCAACAGTATGAAATGAAGGAATGCTAAGAGTGTAATTAACTATTTTCCTCCCTATTTTACTTTTCTTCTTTGTTCCTTCATAAATAGGCACCCCCCCTCATTGAGCATACCCCAAGCATAAACAGCATTAACCTTAAAAAACCTTTAAAAAAAAGGCCCCCCCCCCCCCCAAAAAAAAAAAAAAAAAAAAAATTCTTAACCCCTTTGTGTATCTATTGAATATTTTTTGGTAATTCATGATAAGGACTGATCTCGCTTAAGTAATTGGGAGAGGCTTGTCCTCGGTCCAAATCAAACTGGAGAGAGCTGTTGGGTTTCTGTGGGCCAATTACGGAATCTGCATTCATAATCTGTCTCTAGTGGGGGTGTTTGGTAAGATTTTTTTGAGTTAACTTATGACTTTTGATTTTTAAAAAATTATTTTGAACTGTTTGGTTAAACTTATTTTAAACAGTTTCTGATTCTAACAACTTATTTTAAGTCAAAAAAACTGATTCCTCATTCCTTACTTTTGATTACCAGCTTCTGCTGTGGAGATATTAATTCACGGTTATACTTTTAAATTTTTTTATTTTTTATTTTTTTAAAAATAGAAAAAATCTCAAATGGTCTATAAAATATTATTATTATTATTTATGAGAAATGTAGACAAATAGTAAATAATAAAAAATAAAAATTAATTGAAAAAACTACTTTACAGCTTATTTAACAAACACTGCTCAGCAACTTAAATATATAATCTAACAATTATACCAAACAGATTAACAGCTTCTGATTAAAGTCATAATTTATAATTTGTTAAGTTATAATTTATAATCTGTTTTAACAGTTACACCAAACAACACTAGTGTTGCTAAATATTCATAGATCAATTCTACCTATTAATGATGTTGCTATTTTTGAATTTTTAATTAGTAGCACTTTGTTATTTTTATTTCTATTCTTGTTGTTTTCAGGAAGGAATATTTAGAAATTCCGTGGGCAAGCTTGAGGTCTATGGTGGAGCCATCGTTCGCAGAGAGATCATTGATCTACCATAGAGATTACCTTACAAATGGTCGTATAATCACATCGAGCGCTATCAGTGTCACTAATACTGAAGTCTTGACTTCCGAGGGGCGTCTAGTTGGCTACGATTATCTTGTCATCGCCACTGGCCATGCTGATCCCCTTCCGGTATCCAAATCTGATCGATTTAAACAATATCAAGCAGGTAAAACTCACACGATTGTTATGTCATCTTTCGCCATTTAATACTAAAATTTCACTTTTTAATTGTACCAGTTAATCCTTATTCAGATTTTAATTTGACGTCACAACCTATGGTTTAACTAAATTTCATTTTCTATCCAATGGCAGAACATGAGAAAATTGAGAAGGCTAGTTCCATTTTAATCGTGGGAGGCGGACCCACAGGCGTCGAGCTAGCTGGAGAAATCGCTGTCGATTATCCTGATAAAAAGCTCACTTTGGTGCACAGTGGAACTAGATTGCTACAATTCATTGGACCAAAAGCTTCAAACAAGACTCTGGACTGGTTGAAATCGAAGAAAGTGGAAGTGAAATTGGAGCAATCTGTGGATTTGAAATCTGTTTCGGAAACAAGCAAGACATTTTTAACATCATCTGGAGAAACTGTGAATGCAGATTGCCATTTCTTGTGCACCGCAAAGCCAATGGGTTCGACATGGCTAAAAGAATCTGTGTTGAAGGATAGCTTGGATCATTTTGGAAGGATAATGGTTGATGAGAACTTGAGAGTTAAAGGTCACCCGAATGTTTTTGCCATTGGAGACATCACTGATATAAAGGTGAGTGTTCTTGTGCCTTTTTTGCTTCAAATTATTTTGGGTAAATAATACTTTGCAATTCTGCCCTTTACATCAAATTTAATTGTAGCACTAGCCCTATGTAATTTTGTTCAAGTTGGTGTCAAATTGTCTAGCAGAAATTGTCCAGTCACACTTACACGAGGCATTTTTTGGGTAAAAATTCAAGTTTATTTCTTTCTCTTTTTTTATATTACTCCGCTGTCGCTATTTTTTTTTTTTTGAACTCGCCACCATTATCACTCTTTTATTATCAATCTTTCCTGCTACTTCCCCACCCTTTTTTACCCCGCAACGCCTACCCTTCCCATCCCATGGCTACTAACCGCCCATTCCTTGCCACCCTTATCCCTTTCTACACGGTTGTCGGGCAAAAAAAGGGCTTGGTGAGGGGTGGTCGGAGTAGATGAGATGACAGAAAAGGGGTGATGTTTAGTGATTGGTTTAGAAAATACAATGAATAAATAAAGAAGAATAAATGAGAAAAAAAAAAATTCCATTTTTACATTAAAAAAAGTCTTTACATGATTGTGGAAGTTACATGACAATTTTTATTAACCAATTTAACATTAGACTAGCCCAATACCCATATTGTAACTTGATTAAAATTGAAGTGGCTTGACTAAGTACATTAAAAAAATGACGGACAGAAGTGAAATTTGATGCAAATATAGGGTGCAAAGTGTAATTTACCTAATTATTTTAAATATATTTTAGACAAATCTAACTTATTGTGTTTATGAAACTTGTAGGAAATTAAGCAAGGATATTTGGCACAAAAACATGCTCTAGTGGCGGCAAAGAACTTGAAACTTTTGATGATTGGAGGAAAAGAAAAGCAAATGGCTAGTTATCATCAGGCTCATTCTGCAATTGCACTTGTTTCGTTGGGGAGGAAAGAGGCAGTAGCTCAATTGCCTTTCACAACACTCATTGGACATATACCTGGTTTGATCAAATCCAGAGACTTATTTGTGGGAAAGACAAGGAAGCAAATGGGTCTTAACTCTTGATCACCCACCCTCATAATTTTTTTATTTTATTTTAATGGAATGATTCTCCCCAATTCACACAATGTTACTTAATTTTGATGGTACGAGTCATTTATTTTTTAAGTCCATTTGTATAAATCACCTGTCAAAAATGATATAATCTTTTCATGTCACATTATTTCATTATATTTGTTTTAAGAAAATAGACAAAATGTGTAATTTTAAAAATAAACGATTATTTTTTCTAAAAACAAAATTGATAAAATTGTTTCTATAATTATCAAATTTATTTATTTTATTTTTCATGAATGATTTACATATATGGATCCAATAGAATAAATAATTTATATTATTAAAGTGAGACTCATTGAACCTCACGAGTCTTTAATTTTTTCACTCACAAAAAATAATTATTTTAACTAATTTTAAGTATATTAATTTTTTTTAATTTAAAAAAAAATCAAAAATCAAAAAATCACTAAAACAAACCAATATCAAATCCCCTCAGATTTATTGCATGATCGTTTTGTTTTGTTAGTTGGAATTTGTATACTTTGCTATGTGATCGTGATATGCTTCTTTGTATACTATGCGACTATCACTATGTAATAAAATTATGATGAGAGTATGCTTCTTTGATTGGCCGTTAATTCTTTGTGAAAAAGCATTTGATACATTGAATAAAATATAGGAAAAATTATTGAAACATTTCTTTTCAATTTTGTGTAACAGCATATGTTTAAGATATTTAACATTTCTTTCCAATTTTGTGTAACAGCATATGTTTAAGATATTTTTTATATTAACTAAAATCTTTCGATGAAATTTCTCTGTAAAAATATTGAGAGATCTTAATTACTATCAAAATATTATATATTCTTTATTTTATAAAATCTTAAACTTAAAAAAAAATCTCCTAATATATATGTATATATAAGTGAGAAGCCTATATATAAAAAAATATTGTATATATAAAAAAATCTCCACTATTGGTCTTGTTTTGATGATTTAAACAGTTTATTTTATAAGGCTCTCTTTTTATATATCTTTTATAAAAAAAATTATATTAATCTGATAATCGTAATTTTTTTATTTTATCAATTTTATTTTAAAAATAATAAATAATTTATTTTAAAACAGTTGATAGGCAAAATAAAATATATACTTTATAGTAATATTTAGATAGGTAAAATGCCTACTACCGTTGGAGATGCTCTTAATTACTATCAAAATATTATATATTCTTTATTTTATAAAATCTTAGACTTAAAAAAAATCTCCTAATATATATGTATATATAAGTGAGAAGCCTATATATAAAAAAATATTGTATATATAAAAAAATCTCCACTATTGGTCTTGTTTTGATGATTTAAACAGTTTATTTTATAAGGCTCTCTTTTTATATATCTTTTATAAAAAAAATTATATTAATCTGATAATCGTAATTTTTTTATTTTATCAATTTTATTTTTAAAATACTTGGGATCTCTAATTAGAGGTGTCACTAATGATGTGACAGTGAATCTTACCTACTGTCACTTTTAATGCTGTGTTTGTTTATTTTTTTTTTACTCTCTTTAAAAATATATTTAAAACTTCTAAATTAAAGATGTCTAGCATCACCGTAAAACTCGGAGTAAAGAACACATCTGAGTCCCTTCAAATCAGATAATTAGACATATACATTTATCTATCTATATATGTACACAAAAAAGATAATAATATGTATAATACCATCATTGCACATCATCACCAGCTATACTGTCAAACTTCTCTAGCTGTACTAACCTAAAAAATCTTCTCTTACTTTTAAAAATCCTCCAAATAGCATTTTCAAGAAAAAATTATTAGTAATTCGATCAGACACATTTCGGGATTATGTTCCTAATCAATTATAAATTATTATTTACCTTTATAATTTTTAATTACTTAACATAAAATTATAACTTATACTTTCTTTACAAATTACGATGCATATAAAAGGTTATTTTAAAAAGATGATTAAAAGTTAATTTTTTAACTAAAAAAATATGAAAAATAATGTAACTTAAAATAGATTAAAAAATAAAAAATAATTTTTAATTATCTTTCCAAAATAGTCTGAAATATCACGTGATTCTGTCCTTAGAGAATCTCTAAGGGTAGGGGTGAGCATGGTCCGGAGTGGACCGGATTGAGGTAAAACCAGAACCAATCCGTTATTTACGGTTCTTGAAAAATTGGAACCAATCCAATCCATTTCAATCATAGAACCAATCCGAATCAATCTATTTAAACACGGATTGGATCGGTTTAGGACCATGGATTCACATAATTAAATAACAAAAAAATATATATATAACAAATTAATTTCATAAAAACATAAATATAGCGCTATATTAGTTTCACAATAGCAACATGTTTTTCTATAATAGCGACATACTGTTCTAGAATTTAAACAATCATAAGAAAACTAGTTTCACCATAAGTATTTAGACCATTAAAATTAAAACTAAAAACTAACAAATAAAAGTAATAAAAGAAGATATTATACGGGTTTAGGTTTGAGTTTAGGTTTTATATAGAATAAGAGAAGATATTATGAAGGAGAATGTATAATAAAAATATAGATTATTTGTATACGGTCTGGATTGGTTCTAATCCGGAACAGTGGAGTTCAATCTGGAACCAATCCGTGAACTATGGATTTTTAATTCTTTAATCCGGAACTGAACCACGGATTCAAAAAATCAATCTAAATCTATCAGATTGGACTGGACTGGATCGGATTACGGATTTCACAATTCCTTACTCAGCCCTATCTAAGGGGATAGTTAAACAAGGTTTGTTAGGCATTTTAGCCAATGTAAATCTAATTTTGAGCTCCAATGAGCTAGCTATTAGGCTAACTACTTTGCCATCCTATTTTTTTGGTGGCTACAATTAAAGAGTCCCAGAGGCTCTCCAAACAATTATGTATATATATTTTAGAATTTTGTGTATTTATGTCTTAGATTTGAGATTTATATTATATATATATATATATATATATGTATATGTATGTGTGTGTGTGTATATGTAGCAATTTTATATGTTATTTCAATTTTGTTTGATGAATTACGAAATAACTTGTTTTATATTTTGTATTTTTTTCTCTCATTCTACATGTTTTGTATGTTTGTATGGACAAATTTATATTAGTAAAATATCAAGAATTAGTATTTTTTTATTTTAAAAATTAATTAAGTTAGTTTTAATAATTAGCTAAAATAAAGAGCATGATTGGAGAACACAATAGCTAAAGTAATTAAATAAAATAAAAAGTGTACTTTTTTTATTCTTTAACTAGCGAAAAGTAGAGAGTGTTGTTGGAAGAAAATTGCTTGAGAGCTCTAGGAAATGAGCTCTAAACCATGCACTAATGACATGGAAGTGTGTGGGGTCCAGTTTGATGTGATGCTTTAGCTTGAATTTTTTTTTTTTTTTGGGACTGCCAGCTCAGTAGAGCTCTTTTTAGAGCTCTATCTACTTTTAGAGCTCTATAGCATTGTTGTTGTTGGAATTGCTCTTAAACAACCAACAACTTCTCCATCTTCACACAGAGACAACCCAATGCAGTGCTCATTTATCCCAATTTTTTTTTAACAAAAAGTTTTGAATAAAATTCGTAAATACAAACAATTTTAAATTTATTTTTAAACTCAAGTTATTGCTTCAATTTTAAAGTCACATTTTCAAAACATAATTTTATTTTTATTTTTTTTGTATCTAATAAATCAGTTGAAATATGAAACCACAAGACTAGCTGGGGTTAATACAAATTTTTTTGTATGAAATTACAATTTTAAACCAATTAAACAATGTCTATTATTCACACATTTTGTAGTCTCCGAAAAATTTTAATAGGCTCTGTTTGGTTGTATTTTCAAATTATAATTCTCCCCACACATTCTAATACCATGTTTAGATGAGATTTTCAAATCATATTTCCACACTAAACAGAAAACTCGATAGAAAACACTCTGTGTCAGGCGGGATTTTTTTTTAAAAAAAATTTGGCTTAACCGGTCGTCTCACCGGACGTCCGGCCGGTCATCCCACCGGTTGACCTGTTGGACATCTTGAACAGTGCAATTTTTTTTTATATATTTTTAATAAAACAATATTTTTGGAATTTGAAAAAAAAATTTATAAGCTTTTCATAGATTTTTAAATTGTGTGTTTGATTATAAATTGTAAGTTTTTGTATCAAATATCGTATGTTACATCAAAAATTTCTCGCTCAATACAAAACTCTTTTCAAAACTTATTCACCAAACAAATTTTCTATACTCAAATCATAATTTCAAAACTCATAAACTCAAAATACAACTTATATTCTCAAATCATGGTTAGAAAATTCTACCAAACGCAACCTACTTTTCCTTCATCTCTCTTTTGACTCTCTTTCTCGATCTCCTCTCCCCCTCTTTGGTAAAACCATCTCTACAGTTAACACGGATTAACTTATGACATTAACACACAACCTAAATATTAGAGAAAAAAATACAACAACAACATCAATAATAATAATAATTGTTTAACTTTTCTAATTTTTTTTCGTTAAATAAGTTATAACGGGATGCAAAAATGAAGTTTAACAAATTCACAAGATATAACTATGTTTAAGTGATTATTTAGTGATACTAGAGTATTAATTAAAATATTCACAATTTATTCACTTATCTTCTAAAAACCAATACAAAAGTATTGAGCTTTAGTTTTACTATTTTAATCAAGTTGGAGGATTCCCTCCGGTCTAAAATTTGAGCTGGAGAGAGTTGTTTGGGCCCTGTAGGCTCACCAAGGGCCCTGTTTTGATAATACAAACTGTTCATTTTGTTGAGCACTTTGTGTATTTTATTTACAAAAAAACTTACGTCTATCCAATAACTATAACTTGTTTAGTTTACTATTTTTTTACTAAAAAAATAGATGACAATTGTGTTAAAATCATACAGTTTTTTGATGACAAAAATAATAAATTAAATAAGTTGCAATTATCAGATTGATCTAATTTTTTTGTGTATAAAATACATAAAGTGTCTGACAAAATGAACAGTTCAGATTATTAAAATATAATCCATAGTGGGCCTTACGAGTCCAAACAACTCCCTCTAGTTGGACTCCTCTAATCAATTAAACACCACATAAGATTGTGT